TATATAGTATGTACAAAATATGCCCATTTGCATTACTAATACTAAGAAGAGTGCCTCTAGTTACCTGATAGTATTTCCAAACAAAATGTATGAGTAGAAGAAATCATTATATCCATCCAACAAAAATAAACTAGCCGTTCAGTTTTTCTGTTGAGACCGACCTGATGCCACCCTTTTCACCTGTCGCACCCTCCGGCGCCGTCTTAGTTTGTGGCGTAATGTTATCAAACCGAATCCTCAACATCCCAGCGGACTTCTGCCAACTTGTAGTCTTTGCCGTCGGATCGCACACCTCAGGATGCAACAACGTCGTAGCCACACGTCCAGTCGACGTCTGGTTGAGCAGCTGGCGCATAATCTCCAAGCTGAACCTTGAGAAAACCCACATTACCATCGCGACAGCGACAATTGCGAGCCACAACACCAGCACAAGACATGCCGGGATGGCGTAGCGCGGGTCGTACTGGATCATTTTCCGGTACTTTGTGACCATGATAATAGCGGGGGTTCCGGTGGTGACTGCCTCCACTGCCAGAGTATCCACTCGCGGCTTGGTACTGTCGAGCGCGGATTTTGTGCCTACGGTTGCGGCGGCGAGGAGATCTGTGATGATAAGGTTTACCATTAGTTTTGCGGTGGTTGGAGCTCGTGTTAGGCGTTGCCATGCTGTGAACATTGCGAAATCCTGCTGGCCGGAGTAGTCTGGCACTAACGAGGAGGAGGAGGATGAAAGATCATTGTAGACGGAGTTCAGTGCAGCACCGAAAATGTTTTGGCCGGCGAGGGAGTCTATGCTGCCGGTGATTGTGAGGAACGGGTTGGTGGCAGGCAGCCAGAACTTCTCGGCCCGGATAAAGTCGAAACCTGGGGTACCCTCGAATCTGTTGTCTACTATTCCCCATAGAGGCGCAACATCTGCAATTGTGCGATTGGGGTTTTCAACGGCCCACAGAGGTATAGATGAGTTGGAGCTGTACGTCTTGTCGCTGACTTTTTCGATGCGAAGGTTGGCTAGAGATGTTGTGCCGTTGATGGAGAAGTCGACTGTCTTGATGGACGCACGTGCACCAGATGCGCATACATACAAATTCCGTGTGTAGGAAGTGTAGGGTGCGAAGAGGAGTGTCTCTCGTCCGTCGGTGAGATGTGCTGCACCAAAGACGTATCCACACCGTACAGCGATATTAGTCATGTTGGCGAAATCTTCCCCTCCAGCACCAGCGCATACTGTCTCTGCGACGTCCGTCAGCCTTGAATCCAGGTGGGATGGGACGAAGATAATTGTCACTCCTTTACCTGCACTAGTGAAATTGGTGCTTGTAATACTCAGCCGCGCGCTTGCCTCCTTGGTGAGGTTCAGGCTGGTATTGTTTGATCCAAAACTCGAACCAAACCCGAGGTCCAGAAAGCTGCCGTCGATGCTAGATAGTGACACCGCCCCAAGATCCACCAAACTCGAGCCCCGTTCTGAGATCAGGTACTTCTGTCCAATCGAAGAGTTCATATCCTTCAGTCGTCCGGGGTATGTGACATTTAGCCACACCGCAGCGAGTGCATTACTGATCCATGCACCTTTATAGGCGCGTGCACGAAGGTCGGGGTTTTGCGTATCGTTCCACAACCCTGGATATGGGTATTTCCTTTCTAGATTTGCAAATCCACCGTTGTCGACCAAGTATGTAGCAACGGAGGTATTGTATGCGCTCTCCGCAGTGTTGAACTCAAAGGTGAGATTGGTGTCCACGCACTCGGTGATGGGCTCAATCCAGGTCAGATCTTCGCTCCAGGTGCCGCCAAGAGCCAGATCTGCGGGAACAGTATGGTTTCGGAAGCCAATTCCACCGGTACGGGTGTCCACCACGAGTCCTTCAACTGCCTGAGTCGTATTCCGAAGCACCAGACGTTCAACGCCACGGAACGATCCTCGGATGTAGGTTTTACCATGATCAACATTATCCTCACGGACACCCGTGTACAGCCTATACTGGATGTCAAAAAGCCCTGAGACGGTGCTTCCCTGCCCGGAAGTTGCGCTTGAGAAAATTTCCGTGAGGTTATTGGGCAAGGTGGAATTGATTGTTGCGCTATCGAAATCCGGTATTCCATACGCCCCGGTGCTATTGCTAAATGTTTGGTAACCCGCATAGGAACCGGGACAGTTCATTAATATCATTGCCCCACAGAGTCGAGAGAATTTGAAGTCTGGTCTTGGAGGCGTGCTCTGGCCCCATGGCCCTTCGTCTTTAACATACTGAAATTGGGCAACGCCGGTTGTTCCTGGCTTCACGGTATCGCTGAGCCCTAGAGGTGTAATGACACCGGCAAGTGTCATAAGTAAAAGAGCGAGTGTTCCGATCCATGTCAGGAAATTTACACCAAACCGGACGCCTCGGGTTTGAACTGTGTCCGCTTGAAGGAGTGTGGGCCAGTGGGATATCTGGGTGACGCGGTTCACAATGGACCTAGGTGGTGGATCAGTTACTAAAATCATGACAAGGCACCTGGAAAGGGTCAAACCAAGTGGAAGCTGAGTTTTCATTCCCGATGTACCCCACCAGGATAATGACAATTGCGAGAGGGACAGTGAATTCAACTGTGGAATTGGAATCAGATCAAGAATCATATAGGACAGCTACATTTGGAGACAATAACATACCTAAAAAGACTGTGGCGGCAATAATACCGGATACCTGACCTACACTGATCATCGTGGCGGTTGGCAAAAAGCACACGCGAAGTGCTTGGGCTTTAGAGAAGGGAAAGGAAACAAATAGAACATGGCGGGGTTATATTCAAGAATTTAGCGTGGCGTAGGTATTGCACTGTTTGATGTGGCCTAGGTGTTAGTTGCATCAGGGGAAGCATGCATGGTACTCTTAGTATTTGAAAGCCAGGAGAAATACGAGATATGTTACACAGGATCCACCAGCATCAACCGCTTAGCTAACAAATAATCTGAGTCAAATCGGAAATTGTAACCTCGTATGCACATCAGTAGCTTAAAAAAGAGTTCAAACCCCGTCGTCTAACCGAAGTTGGCGTTTGAACTTATAATGACAAGCACGGCTGTGCGGTTGTTCTTCAGGGGCTTCTTTGTAGTGAAAATAAGCGCGAAGCCCTCGGGGATAGGAGAAATATCAAAAACCCACCCTATCCATCTACCCTGACACAACCAACTACCAGATATGACCCGACTCTTCCCCTTCGTCACCGTTTGCGCTGCTGCGTGGATCTCTGGAGTGACAGCTCAAATCATTACGCCAGCACCATCACCTCCACCATATTACGATCAACTATTGAAACGCCAGATCAAAGATTTCAATTCCTACGCTTCCGCCTTGGACAAATGCTATTCGACTGGAGCAGCTTGCAAGTACCCCGATTACTATGGTGCGTGTCAGGCGGAGTATAAGGATTTGGATTACCTATGGTGTCTTTGCACGACCGGATACTACGAGGCCGTTCACTCGTGAGTTCTCAGATATTGCGGACCATCGATTCCTTCTGACCAGAAGCAGGTGTAGCAGCTGTAAAGTCTCAGTCGGAATCGCCTCAGCCGCCGCCGTGTCGACATGGATAAGTATGGACAACGCAGCCTGTGATCGACAAACCTTGAAAATGAGAACGAAGTCACCGGAATTATTCTCCTCTGGTGGGTCCAAGAAAAATACGAAATCAGCTGCAGCTTCCAGTTCTAAGGCGAAGGCAACACAAGACAGCCAGCCAGCATCGACGGGGGATTCGGGAATTGTAACGCCTACCGCCCCGATAATTGACGAACTTATCGGGTCGAAATCGACAAGTTCGGCGTCCGCTGCGTCAGAGTCTGTTTCAACGGAAGTGGGGCAATCGGCTGCGGCGGGTTGGCAGGATCGTCTGGTTGGTTTTGTGGGATTTGTGTGGATAGTATTTATGGCGGCAATAATGTTGATGTGAGAGCTTTTGCTGTACCTAGCCAAAGCTAAAGGATGCCAATCCAGCTATTATGTAGGAGCGGCACTGTCCACGGTACCTCCATTGGAAGTACATAGGAACGCTCTGTGGAGGGAAGCAATTTTCTCACGAGGACGAAGAGAATCGGGAAAGTTCCAGCTGGTAATAGGTACATATATATCTAATCTAATCTAATCTCAAAACTATTTTTTGAATAACCGGAACTCTGAACTGGGTTTATCGTAAGGAATACATGTGAACACATAATAAATTCGTTGCTCAGGTGAAGAACCGTATGGGCTAGCATTGATGTCACGATTCCTCTAGATAAACCGACCATTCGTGGATTAGTGTGACTGCTATCAGCATCGATAGGTGCATGAACTCCTAGATTACATCTGCCCAAAAATTTCAAAACCTAGCTAGTGAGCCTTGCTCTAAGCGAGATTTTGTGCAAGGTAACACCCGTCTTCATCCATCCAAAGCAATTCTTCGTATCATACAGTGTTCCGAGAATTTCCCATACCAATTCCGTGTACGAACTGACAACTCACATCAATTGGTGCTATGCAAACAAGTCTCCTGACGATCTGTATGGGTTCTGGTAAAGTTACCTACCTTTTTTGGTGCCAGATCGCCAACCCACCATCAAGGTGAAACCAAATCTCGGTAAATCCCCGACAGGGCCCATAGCTAAAACCAACGACATACGAGACAACTCTTCCTATACTTGTTCATATCTCCGACGTGGGAAAATTCTATAGCCGATTGGCGAAAATGTAACTCGGCCAAACCCGAAACCCATTGCAACTGACTTATCACCAGTGGGTGCCATGAGTGTAGAGAGTTATGTTTGTTTAAACAACAGACACATACTACTTTGCTGAAGAAGTGAGTAGCCAAAGCTCGGTTTCCTTCCTCGGTCTGATTTTCCACTTCTCGGGTTTTGGGCTCCATGATGAGTCACTGCGAAATCATAATTTACGTTCGCAGTAGCTGTCGCTTGAGTTCCTGCTGAAGCACAAACAGTCACTCACAATCGTACCGCTCCGCTTATTAGGATTCATGACTTCGTGGCGCAAAGATAGTGCATCTGATTTCAGACCAGAAGGTTGCGTGTTCAAATCACGTCGAGGTCAATTTGATCACTCTTTAAATATATTTTTTCAGTAAATCCATTTCATTTTGGTTGAGTTAATAGTAAGGGGAATCTTAGGAGGTTCTATTAAAAATACATCGATAGACACTTCTTACGAAATCCTGTTTTGTAAGTGATCTGGTGTGACGATTGCTTGTTTCTAAATTCCAAGAACAAAGTCACTCGCCTTCAAATTCAGACCGAACGAAGACACAAACCCTAGGTACCGAAGATACTAAAACAAGACGAAGCGGAATATTGTGCCCTCAGCGGAATCAAAGTCAGTTTCTCGGGACCCCCGAGGTGTTCGATAATGAGGGGAGAACCATGTGTATAGATTAAGATACTGAGTGTAAAGAGAGAGAGAAGAAAGACTCGAGGTATATACAAGAGAGTGGTGTGCATTATGCCCTACGGCTTACAGTCAGCTCCATCATCAGTCAGGTCTATTTATGCAACACGAGGAATCTAAACAAATGTGAGTGATCCGTAGTGATCAAGAGCAGTACTCGTCGAATTTTCAAGTCTCCAGGCCTCTCATTATAAGCGCTCTTCGCGACACATCAATTTACAATGACTACCTACCTACTCACCAAAATTTTTGTTATGACTACACACCAAAGACGAAATGAATACATCAAAACCAAGTGCCATATGAAATGAAGCCCAGAAACAAGTATTCCACTGCTCTACCATTAAACACATAGTAATTTCAAGCCTCAAAACACCATAGTTAACACATAGATCTCGGGTTTATCTAATCTTATCAAAGTCACTAATCAATAAGGGTGTCCGGGGAGTTGAAAATCCGACGAGTAAATATGGCCAGATTGACCACTCCCGTTCTAACAGCCAAAATTAACTATTGGTTTAAATGTATGTAAACCGACAATCGCAGGTTTCCAACCTGAGAGCCAGCGTTTATACCTCCAATTGAGCACTGCAGGTTTCGAACCTCTATCCTGGTGCTTTAGCATCATGCCTAGCAAACAGATCGCCAGTGGTTTAGCCATTGTTATTATTTATGGATTTAGCCTCTCTGGCGGATCCGGCTACTAACTGTTGCAACGTAAACCTTGCAGTCTATCATCCATTGCACACCTTTAACACCGCCGGACAATCATCTTGATTCATTAAACGCTCAGCATTGACCTTTATAAATATGTATGACAATATAAAACCTTCATAAACACTAATTGCTAAATATTCTTGCTAGTCGCCACCTAAAGACCGTCTGCTGTTCAATCAGCTAGTCGACGGATGAACAGGCGTTTGCGGTATACAGCGGGTCGTCAACCTTATTTTTCTGCCATTTCCGTTCATTTATCTAGCTGCATAAATTGCCCCATTGCTTACTGCTGTCAATGTGAACTGAATACACACACCCAGGACAAAATGACGGAGCCCACTGGCGGTGAAGCCCAGCCCGCAAGGAACGCATTAAAGGTAGTTCATGCCTAGCTAGTTCGTGTATAGGTGTTGGTTAAGAAAGGGACAATCAGCGGGCTTCGGATCATTATCTAATTGCATCGAAAGCCCAAATCCCCACCCCACGATGAGACGAAAGAATACTAAACATACAATCATACAATTTTCTTCAGCACACGGCGAATATTAGCCGCACTATAGAGTATCAACCGTGAACTTTTTGACGTGTCGCCGATCTCGACTCACTTTGAAGTCAACCCAAACCGCTTGCGGCACGATGGCATTTGACCATACATATCTAGCTGCGTCTACCCCCGCAGAGTATTTTTAGTTCAGCGGATATTCCCTGGGTAGCTTAAATGAGCGATAACGCTGAATATCCCTGATCGGCTGAGTGGATTCTGGATTCTTCTTGATCAGTGAGTGAGCTGGATGCGCTCTATTTGAACGCGGTAGATGGTATTAGTCTTGATTGTGTGTACATATCACAGGAATACAAAGTGGAATACCTGTTCGGCTAGAGAAAGTAGTCAACATAACGTTATAACTATGAAGTTTAGATATGTACATAAGCCGATATATATGCAACTGTTTATCTCTATATACTTGCCTGCATCTCGGCTTTATCCGAGTTGTCGAGACATCAGGCAGTACATGACATGTCACTTTTCTTGCGGAGACTACTTATGTATACATATACGTCAATAAGCTGTTCAGTTGGAGGAGCTGAGTGGGTCAGGAGATATGAGCACCACCGCAGGGCAGGGACTTTTTCGGCCGTACTTCTCTGTTGATATCGATTGATTCGATCATGAATGATCGTTTGGAACTTATTACCCAAAGCACAAGGGATACATAACGTCATAACTGCGCAGATATATACACTTTGTCCCTCGCAGTCTGCACAAAAAAAAAGCAAAGTACGCTGCAAAACTCAGAGCCACGGAGTTCCGCAACCATCTCCAATCACTTAGCCTCTGGGGTCTCAGGCTTTCGTCCATACACAACGTAGCTAGGGAAGCGGTTAGCGCAAGAAGGAAAATGGATCGACGGTGATGATCGACTCACAAATAGTTGTAGCTGTGGCTGTTCTTGTTCTGGACACCGGCATAACAATCACGGCAGACTTTCTCCGCCTCTTCTGCCGTCATGCCCAGGATTCGTGTGAAGGCAGCCATACCATAGGAATGATACCCGCTCTCTCCATTGAGCAGCATCATGGCTCCCTATCTCAGCGTCAGTTGGCGGTAAATCACTAAACTATTAGGTGCAATCATATTCGCACCACTCTCTTCAGTCGGCTGTCTCTAGGCCACGGGCCTAAGGGCTGCTTATAGCTGAAAATATGGATATCCTCAAATCTGCGTGACGTTCTGCTGTCAGCCCTATGCGGAGGAAAATGGGAGGACCAAACGGACCCAGCTTTTATTAAGTTGCCCTTCAGTGTTTCGCCCGTCATGTGAGCCGGCCGACCAATCTTCGACATCGCTTCACTGAGCTTCTCTACCCATAACTTGGTGCCGGGGTCCAACGTGTTGTCATCCGAATAAACAATCCTATTCTCTTCAGAAACCAATTGCAATACAAGGACACGCAGCGAGGAATGCTAACCCGCCGAGTTCTGCCAACTCCACATAACCGCCAGGTTTGACGCAACTGTGTGAAAAATCCGTATTAGCCTGCGAGAGAGGACATCGGCCGCAGAGATATATACCGGTAAACTTCAGACATCACTTTCGCCCAATCTGTAACCGACTGCGCAAGGTTTCTCAAATGAATGAAATCAAACGTGTCCTAGATCTTATGTTCAGCATTTAACCTACCAGGACTACAATTTAGAGGAAATTTCACACACCGAACGATGCGTCCAGTCTAATTCCGCGTCGTCCACCTCGAAGCTGCAATTTGGCGGAACCCATTTCGGTTGAATCGGACTAGCGGTTTGTCAAAATTATAGACGAACTGTTGGTTTGGGATGCGTAACATGCCTCAGATCCGTTCCCAAAACCTGAGCGGATGGATAAGTATCCGCCATATCAATTGCCCAGATACCTGTTCCGGTTCCGACGTCAAGGATTCGTTGGGGATTCTCCCCGATGGGTGCCTTGTGGAGAGCTCCTTCCATCAGCGTGAGGATAATCTCGTGATGCAAATCAAGCCTGTGTGAAGGACTTAACGATTAACCAAAGAGGGAGTGGTAGATTCAGACCTGTCCTGCTCTTTCTCATCCGTAGGTTGTATATGCTTTTCGGGGCCGAAATACGCATGGTACCTTCTGCCTATACACCCAGAATCAATATTGTTATCTTTAAATTCGCCCGCAATGGATGTGTTTGGTTTTGGACACAGTAGTATTCAAGTGGGCTATCAACGTACCGTTTTCAAAGATGTATGTTTGGATAGAGGATGTCAAGCTCTGGGTGCTCGTATTGTAGCCGGAGGAGGAGTAATCATCGGAATCCCTAGATGTAAGCTAGGAGTGGGCATGTAATCAGTATCTCAAGCTTCCTTCTCAATCTGGAGCTGGTCGCCACACCACCGCTGGATCGACTTCGATGTCGGTTGATATTGGAGGATATTGAGCCATCTTTGCTTTAAAGAAATTGTTGAATTGGGTGTAAGTATAAGAGATTCAGGAGAAAGGGAGGTCATATCTATCACTGAAGCCGGACCAGTGCCTCGCTTCCCACGGCTTTACCCGTGGGGGTTATGAGCAATGGAAATTAACGCGTAGCAACTAGTAGGTATTATCAATATCTCTGAGAAGCCCTGTTCTTGATTCAGCACCGGTTGCAGCGCCAACCAAGTTTCGGAACCGGGCCGCATTGCATAAGGGCCCCAGCCGCGTAATGTGATTGACCGGAGTCTTTTTTTGTGGCGACAATGGTCTACCCTCAGGTGTCTATTACCTGCTCCAATGCCAAATCAACTTGCATTCACTCCAGCTAGGTACACCCTGTTGATCTTGACATCAGGCTACATCTCTGTAACCGCGCATATTGGGGAGAAGCCCGATGGGGCGGCTGACGGCATTCCCTGCGCGTCTTGGGCTGGGCGCGCACGTAAATATAACAGGTCACAAATCGCTAAACTCTTCCAACCAAGCGCTGATTCCATGTTTCAAATGTAGAATACTTAGGTTGAGGCTTCTGGCACCACTCTGAAAAATCATCCTTCAAGTGTGCACACTTCAATGCAGGATGATGCACATTGCTAAGTAGCCATCACTTCCTGCAAGGCTGACAATGATAGTTAGCTGCAGCTTCGGCGGCAATGGGGAGAAGCCGAAAGGTTTTTAACGAACTGCACCTACATAAACATTCCGAGCACGCTGCAACACCATTCAACCAACTCGTCAAATCTAAAATCCCAATCCGATAATTGACTTCCCAGACCGGTGCCAAACGCGTAGAGCTACAGCGGGTCCAGCCCTACTCTTTCGTGACCACCTGCATCTGGAGTCCGCTCAGCCCTACTAATTAATAGTGCTGGTATTAGACCATGTAGGGAATCTGTATATCTGTGTGTATGGAGTGCATATGATCTGAGTATATACGTATGACGAATCCGTAC